CCGCTGAGCTCCAGTTCATTTGCAAATTTGATACCATCAGATCAGGATTAAACAAAGACCGTGAATGGCTATCCAATTACAGAAGCAGTTTCTCCTCCCTTGGTGTTCACACCTCAACTGCTAGCAGAGCACCTCACCCTCCCTGATTGAACTAACCTCGTTGTCTTCATACTGATTTATACCTGCCTCTGGAAATTTCCATTACTTGCATCTGACGAAGTTAGGTTCTTACCCACGAAAACTTATGCTCCCAATACTTCTGTTAGTCTTAAAAGTGTCACAGTACCCTCTGTTGCTTTTTACAGATTCAGACTAACACGGCTACCCCTCTGATACTTGACATCATTTTCTGATATAGCTGTAAAACTAATCTGAAAAGTTTTCAAAATAAAATAAATCACTTTAAAAATGTACACTGTACCTTCTAAAAATGAAACCTATATCTGAGTTGTGAAGAATATGTATTAAGGTTATAATAACCAACAAGAATGCACTATTATGTAGAAATCCATGATTAAATCGAGTCTTCCTGATTAGTGATTTAAATCAAATCCACCCAGAGTGAAAGTCTCTTGCGGACGTACAGGGGCTGTGAAAAGGCATATTCATGGTAAGCAAGTTTCTGCATCCTATTTCAGCATGCTTTTTGCGTTCACTGAGATTTTGGTCCACTCCCAAAAGAATATGCTTGTGAACTTTTCATACAGGAAATCCTCAAAACAGTCCAAGATATGCCTATGCAGGACAAACCCTCCCCGCCCCACAGCTTACAAGTCCTCTCTAGTCACTCACTGATCAGTCACCAGGCAAGGAAATACCTCTTTGACATAGACAGATGGTCTTCTACCACAGGCCTGGAAAAATTCCCTCTTCCAATCCTGAATCTCTAGCAAATTAACATCTTCTAATGACACCACTACCTGAAATAGCGTTAAGCCAAGCACTGGTAAAAGGTCCCTGGTTTATGGGCACCAAACCCACCCCCATACAGATAAAAAAATACATATTTTTTATTTTATTTTAAAAAAATTCCAAGATTTTCCATTGTATTGGTGGGCTGGTGACCTGAGTTGCAGCTGCTTATCAACAGGCAAATATGGAGAAAGGAGATAAATGTGGGGATGGAGAAGATCAAAGTATCAATTTTGTGATCTTCCTGTGACATGATGTTAAGAGAGATTTTTATTTCCCTAGACAAAAAAAAAAAAAAAAAAAAGAAAAAAGAAAGAAAGAAAGAAAAGCTCTTTTATTGCCTTTGCAAGGCTGCCCACATCTGCTGCACCAAGCAGCCCTCCAGCGGCTTTTGGGATGAGGGCCCTGAACTAGCAAGGGAAAAGAAAAAATGTTCCAAAGATGACCAGCTGCAGGATATGCAAAATGACTTTAGCCACAGGTCATACCAGCAGTGAGAATTCCAGAGGCAGTTGCTGGAGCAGGACAGGGAGATGAAGGAGCATGACTGGCAGCAGCAGAAGGAAATGTTCAAGCAGCTGCTTAGCCTGATGACCAGTACCTTCTCCAGTGGACTCTCCTCCATGCTAACATACCTGGCAGTCAATGCACCACTTGACAATTCTGGAGTGGGGTCGGCAATGTGGCAGTCAAACTCCTAGAACAGAAGTGAGTATGGATATATGTATTCTGTTCGTCCTACCACCGTGCAACTACAGGGGAAGTAATACAAGAACACTGGTGATGTGCAATTCTATCAGTGACATCACACTGATTTACTTTGTGTTCACTGTACATGTCACTCTTAATATTTTCACTCTGGACAGTAGCAGCTGGATTGGCTGCATTTGGTTTTACTGAAGTATTTGATTGAACAATCCACAGGTGAGTGTGTTTGGGAAATAAGAGGCAGAAAGCTTAAATCAAAAGCTTTTAATTTTCAGAACAGCAGCAAACATGTCAGTCTACACAGTACAACACTCCACAGCCCCACATTTTCCCCACACAAAGAAGGATGTGGCCACACAAGCCATCCCTTACTTCCCTTGTTCTCCCAGTCCCAGTGATCAAAGGCGCACTCTTAGGTTCTGGTGTACAGGCAGCCAGTCTTCAACCCATTCCTGGAGAACGCTCTCCCCATTATGCTTGCATATGTTGTGGAGTGCACAGCAGTCCCAACAACACAAATGTCATTGGGCATACTGCATCCAAACAAGTTTGCAAGCAGTGCCAACTTACCATAAGTTGTCAAAATGTACATAATACCACCATCTGCAACTGCTTAGTATGCAAGTTCTTTTGAGTGCACTCTTACATCAGGGTACAACTTCACGTTCACTTTGTGGGGGGAAGGAGATGGTCACAGTTGACAAAACTGGTTAGCAACCAACCTGTAGCAGTCTGAGGTAAGAGCCTACTTCTGGACTCCCTCATCTGCATGTCCTGACACTGGAGGGTTGGGTCTGCTCCTGATCCAACATCAGGTCAACATAAGAGAATCTACAGCTATTACAACCTGCATCAGCTGTCTCAATTCTGCTGTGTCCGCACCAAGGCCTGCTGCGAAAATGCTCTCTACCAAGTCTCATGCCCTCTATCTGCCTCCAGTTGTGAAAACAGGTGTTGGATTAACAGTGACAATTGCTGGAATAGGTCATCATCCTGATCTGGATCAATGCCTTAACAGTGGATAGAACAGAGGTGAAGATGGAAATGAGGAGTGTGCAATGCCAGAAGAGTTTAAATTCTCTGTATTGGTGAGCAAAGAACACTTCCACATAGGGACATGGGAGG